ATGCAGCGAGAGACTCTGAGTGGAGACTAGGTCCTCCAGAAATATCTGTTGCTCATTCTATGCATACTAATGCTTGCATGTGTTGAAGGTGCTACATTTCTGCTCGCTCCAGTTGGTCCATGTTACAGTTGGCCGACCGGCCTGTCATTTCCTCTTACAATAAACCTATAAAACGCCATAACATTACTTCAAAAGTGCAACGGTGGCAAGGCGCTGGGGAGAAGGTCAAACCTCAAAGTTCTGATGAAGTTTCCTTAAGCAGGACAATTAACCAGCTCAATGGGAGCTGATAAGAACTGCAGTTCACATTACAATCTGCTACAACAGCATAAAACAGCTGAGTCAGACACGGATCAAACGCGAGAGTTAGGATCTTTACTCTCAGCCACCGCCATTTTTACGACATCAGCATCCCTCAAAACAAGGGTGAGAAGTGAGAATATTTAAACTAAACAAAAACACAAAGACGCAAGAAGGCGCGCACACACTAACACCTCCATCAATTATTAATATTTTTCTGCCAGGAAGTGCATAATGTTGAATGCTGAGTTATGTGAGAAATGTGAAACACTCCATCACATCTATCTCTGCAAGTGTATTTCTCTCTGGCTCATTATTGATATTTTCTGTCCGTCTTTCTTTATGTTCTCACTTTCTTCTCCCCCTTTATATGTTAGTAGATCTTAGTAGCCATTCTCTCTTTCTTAGGACTGATGTTTGGTCGACTAACTGCACTATGGGTGTATAAACATAACAACAAAAAGGTAAAAAAAAGTAATGGTAATCATACTTTAATTCATTTAAATCCACATACTGTATAGCCTATGGAAAAAAGCTTAGAGGAGAAAAAACTATTTTTCTTTCAATAGATGTTACAGAAGCTAGTTTAGTTCAGAAGCTAGAACTCTTTAAAATGCTCCGTGCTGAAGTGATATTTGTGTTGTTGTGGCTTTAACTTAACAGGCTATATCAAATGAATAAATGTAGCTTGTTTTCTTATATACAGTATGAACAACATTTGATGTCTGAAACATGTTCCATGGCTGAGTCAGAAGCTTTTACTGCTGCCTTGACTGGCTTCCTCGTTTCCCCGTTGTCAATCACCATGCAAGACCAAATCTCTTCGACCACAGAGGCAAATAGTTCCTATATTTGTGTGGGCTGTACTGTGTAAACAGAGTCTAATGGCATACACACTGCAAATTCCAGGCAGAATATTTGATGTTTATACGCTCAAACTGCCTCCTTGGAGGAAACCACTGCCAGTCCCAGAAACTGTGCAATGCATGTGGTTAACAAGCGAACAAGCAAACAAGCCCAACCAAGCAAGCCTCAAAACTGATGCAGCAACGCCACATCTCTCTGTCCTCCCTCCTCTCCAGATCCACCATGATTGAATTGTGAGAGTAGGAGAGAAAGGGAGAGCGATAGATCCCCTACTCTTGTGCCCCCTCACTCTTTGATTTGAGATAGGAGAGAGGAGGTGACAGCCAACACAGCCTCTCGTCAACCTAACCTCAAACCCTCCTATGTTCACAGTTCACACAGGAGAGGGGGTGACAGGAGGCACATAGCACAAACACACATATGTGCTGACGCTGACACACACACACGCACGCAACGCACGCACGCACGCACACACACACACACACACACACACAGTACATGCCCATATATCTCTAATCTTCGCCTCAAATCATCCCCTATCAGCAACAGCAGCCTTCACTGCAAATTGCCCTGTGTGCACCATAGTGTGTGTGTGTGTGTGTGTGTGTGTGTGTGTGTGTGTGTGTGTGTGTGTGTGTGTGTGTGTGTGTGTGTGTGTGTGTGTGTGTGTGTGTGTGTGTGTTTGATGCAACCAGTGGTTTTGTCGCAGAACAACATGTCCTTTGTGACTCAGCTCCTCGTATAGGGATGGCAGGCTCCACTGCTGATCTTTTTTGTACATGCATCAGCTTGTTCTACTCTTTTTTATAATGACTTATAACTCGATAATCTATTTTTATTCAAACAATGTTTTGGGTCAAATTCTTAAACAAATGTCACACCTTTCATCTTCAAAATCTTTAGAAACTACACATTATTGGTTAGGAGGGAAGGCAATTCTGTCCTACTATTATCAATGTATAGTTATACATATATGTCATTAGCGGGACCGAAACCTTCACCTTCATGTGTTCAGAATGTTTTTCCTTTTGAAAGATACTGATATAAATGTAAAAAAATAAACTAATACTGTAATGTTGGTTAGTTAACTGCCATCTCTCTGTTTTTAGTTTTTTAAACATACAACACACATTTTCTGAAAGTGAAATCTTATTAAAGTCCATGTATAATATTTGTTTTGTAATATTATTTCTCAATACTATCTTAACATTTGATTACCTCATTAAACATGTCATTTCATGTTTACAGTATATAGGTTTGATATTGGAGTCTTTCCCGTAAAATCCGTTTTTGTTTTAACAAAACATTTTAATCTGTGGTATCATGAGGTGTGATGTAAAGCAGGTGATGCCTTCAAAGATAAAAATGATGTTATATCTTTGTATGAGACTTCCTATTATTTAGTTACCGTCACATGTAGGTAAAGGGTGGCTCCACCAGTGGTTCTTCTCACATACTAGCGGCTCCTCATGGCTAAGTCTGTAGCCAGAATCACAACCGAATGACACCGTGGACCCAATGGCGAAATCCTGCCCATACCGAATACCGTTGACAGGGATCCCAGGGTCCAGGCATGAGTAGCTGTCGACTGTAACACCTGAGAAAAAAAAGGCATGGATGTCGAAATGGTTGGTGTGTCCAAAAAGACTAAACGGCTATCTGCAGTTTTGCTGATCTGCATATTCTAAAACTCACAGATGGTTTGCACCTCCTCATAAAGCACCATGCTGTGACTTGCATTTTGCAGGTAATGACCTGCATGTTCAGCCAGCTTGTGAATCTGTGTCTGCTGGGCTACCAGTGTAATGTTGTGTCCTGACACCATGCACACCTCCTGTTCTGTTTGTGCCGTTATATATTTATCACATGTGTCATTGTAATCCATAATAGGCATACACAATATTTTTAAAGTCAGCTTTGTATCTCATGTTTATATGTATAAATATCTTTATTTCTGACTTACTTTCATACACTATCTTGAAGCCAGCATTTGATCGGCTGTTGTCGGTGGTGAACAGCAGATAAAGAAAGTTGTTGCTGCTGAACAGGAACTGGGGCACCTGGGTACCATTAAAGGAGCCAACCAGAGGAGACAGGAGGTTTGGCCCATCATGGATCTCCAGGAAATCATAACCCAGCTCCGTCTGGAACCTGTGAGGCAACAATATGAGAATATTACACTTTTAAAATAACTTACAAGCTTTGACATTCAATTTGAAAACAGCTGGACAACAGAAAAAAGTAAGGCTTTCATTCTGCACATAATGCTGGATCTGTTTTTAGCATTCATTCAAACATTAACGTGAGGGCGTGTGAAGGAAACATGAAGATTATACTGTTGTTGAAGTATATTTCTCTGACCAGCTTGAATTGAAGGTTTACTGTAAGGGCTGCATCACTATGATTGTCAATTGGTCCTTCAGACCCTCTATGTTGATCCCATACTGATTTAAAATAAAATGGTTATTGATTTAAAGATAATCATAACCATTAAAGTCATAGTGTCGGTACATGTGTATTTTCCTGTGTAACTGAGTAGACATACTGCCCAGGAAGAAAATAGCAAGAGGTCAATGTTAAAGCACCCTGCAGGCTGCTGAGCCAGTATTGTTAAATGCACTTTACAATGAAATTGTACAGAACATCAAACCAATGAAAAATGATGTCATAGGATCCCATTTAATCTTATTTCTATCGGCAGTTTACAGTTCAGCGATCACATTATACAAAACAACATTTGATGTAACGATACCAAAAACTCACGGTACGATAATATCGCGATAACAAGTCCACGGTACGGTATTTATCGCGATATTGAATAATAAAGGGAAGACATTTTTTTTTCATAAACATTTTTTTTACTCGGAAAATGTTTTTTATTACATAATAAATCGGATTTTTACAGCATTTTTGTAGGATAGCAGTATTTTAAAGTGTCAAAAACAAAGTGACAGTAACAGACTGGAACAAGAAAACCAGTGTTTTCGTACCTACTAGTACTACCAAACAAAGTAAGCATTTTCTTTATGCCACTGCATCTCACAAGTAAACAAGGACATTTAATAATCAGACCCTGCAATAAAATAAATCAAGTTTCACTTTAGCTTTTCAAGTAACTCAACTCAAACTCACTAGTCACTCACTCAGCACC